CAAACCCTAAAAATCACACCAACAACCCAATGTCCAGTACTTCAGTGCAAGCTGTAAAATAAAAAATTCCTCAAAAAATACAGATTTACTTGCCTGTCATAAAGCAAGCCTGAAGGGATACATGGTTTCAAGGGTAAAATCGCGGTCTGATATGATTCTATTCAATTCTCACCAACACACTCCTAGCCTTCAGGGTCCACCTTTGCAGACAGCAAGCTGATGCTGAGCTTGGCAGGGATGCCAACACACCTACCAGATGAGACAATAAAAAAATGTCTCAGGCTCAGCATTTTTAAAGAGATCTGACACACAAGTGGGACAAAACTGATTGTCTCCAGGGTATTTTATAGGCTGCTTTAGCAAGCAGCACTTTCTGAAAGGTTAGACGCCATCACAAGGCAAGAGATGCCACGAGACAAACCTTGCAACTGCATGCATTGCTTAGCACAAAAGACCTGCAGGCCCATCCTCCATAGATTTGTCTTGTGAAAGACTGTTCTTGAGTCTCCATATGCACACAAGTCTGAATAGACAGCCAGCACCAAGAACACAAGTTTTATTCTCAAGTTTTTCAATTAACAGATTCCTATCTCCCTGTAGCTGCTCTTGCACCTAGAGATGAATGAGCAATCTGAAAAAAGCATCACTGCTGAACCTGTGCTCACAATGTGATTCAGAAACTGCCCCATTAAGGAAGCAAGAAAAGAGTCACACCCTCATGAGCATCTCTGTAGCAGCAAGCAGAGACAAGAACCTACCAACTTCATGTGGGGTTGGACTAGTGACCCAACATGTACTTGCTGTGCAGGGAAAAAGTTCTCCATATCATTTTCAGCTTGCCCCTCTAGTAGGCCACCTGCTGAGCTAGATCTGCTGCTAGATTTGCAGGAGGGCAGGCTCAAGAGTGACAGCCACTAGGACAAGAGATGGTCACACAAAAGGATAAAAGCTATTAACATATAAAGTTTGCAAAACCTGTAAGTGATCAAGGAATGTTCCAGCATTACAAACTTCTATGCAAATTCTTTTCCCCTATTCTGGCTGATACCAATGGAAATTTGTAACACCTGACAATAACTAGTTACAAGACTCATCAACTTCAAAAATCTTTACAGGAACAGAGAATCACCACTCATCCAAGACTGGAAGGGGACTGGAGATTTCTTAGCGCAGCACCCTGCTCAGAGTAGGGTAACTAGGGCAGGCTGCTCAGGTCCATGTCCAGTCAGGCTTAGATCATCTTTTTCAAAGACAGAGGCTCCAAAACCTCTCTGGGTCACCTGTTATGGGTGTTTGACCACCCTCACAGTAGAATAATTCTGTTTAAAGGAAGTTTCCTGTATTTAAATTTGTGACCATACACAAACAAGATTCTCTATGAGCCTTCTCTTCTCCAGGCTGAAGAATACCACCTTTCTCAGCCTTGTCCCATATGAGAAAGACTCCCATCCCTTAATAATGTCCATGGTCATTTGCTGGACTTGGTGCAGTACATCCATGCCTCTCATACTGAGGAGACCAGAACTGGACAAAGCATTGTCAGATGTGTCTTACCTCCCAGAGTAGAGGGGAAGGAACATCCTCTTGAGCTGCCAGTGGTGCTTTTCCTACTACAGACCAGGAAGCTGTCGGCATGCTTTTCTCTCAAAGGGCACACCCTGGTGCCCACCAGGACCTCCAAGGCCTTTTCTGCAAAGCTGCTTTCCAGACAGTCAGTACTAGTGCATGTAGCTATTCCTACCCAGGGGCAGAACACTGCATTTCCTTCTGTAGAACTTCACAGGATACCTGTCAGCCCATTTCGTCAGCGTCTCAAGGTCCTTCTGAGAGCAGCACACTCATACAGTGTAACAGCCCCTCATCCCACTTTTGTATAGTCTGCACACTTGCTGAAAGGTGCAGTCAGTCCCATCATCCAGATAGTTAATAAAGATGTTAAACAGTATTGGCCCTACTACCTGTCCCTCCGGACTGATTTCCAATTGGACTTCGTGCTGCTGACCACAACCCTATATTGCCAGCAGCTCAGCCAGTTTTCAGTTAATCTCATTGTTCGTACGTCTAATCAACTCTTCATCAATTTACTACAAGGATGTTATGGGATACAGAGTCAAAAGCCTTACTAAATTTGAGGGAAACACACCCACTGTTCTCCCCTTATCTACCAAGCTAGTAATCTCATCAGGTTCATCAAGCATGACTTCATAAATTCATGCTGACTACACCAAATCACCTTCTTGTCCTTTATGTGTTTGGAAACAGCTTCCAGGTTTATTTGCTCCATCAATTTCCTGAAGACTGATGTGAGGCCAACCACCTATAGTTCCCCAGATTCTCCTCCTTGGGCTTCTTGAAGACAGCAGCAACAATTTCTTTCTTCCGGTCCTCAGGAATCTCCCTCAATTTGACATGACCTTTCAAATATAATCAAGGGAGCCCACACAATAGCATCAGCCAGCTCATTCAGCACTTGGTGGGATGTACTAACAAACCCATGGGCTCGTGTATGTCCTGGTAAAGTGTTCCATAACCTGGATCCTCCCCCACCATCGGTAAGCCTTCCTTGCTCCAAACTTTTACTACTTATCTTGGGGGCCTGGGATTGCTGAAGACAAGTTTTACCAGTAAAGACCATGACAAAGGCAGCCAGTACCTTAATCATTTCCCCATCCTCTGTCACAAGACCCTCCTCTCCCATTCAGCAGTGGATCCAAATTTTCTCTCACATCTGTTAAGAAGCCCTTTTTGTTGCCCTTGACATCACTTGTCAGATTCTGGATGGGCTTTCACTTTCCTAATCCTGCTCTTGAATGATCAGTGTCTGTTTGCCTCCTGGGTCACCTGTCCCTGCTTCCAGCTCTTCTACACTTCTTATTGAAATGGCCAGATCATAAAGAGTGCTCACCATGATTGCTCCATTTCAGCACCCCATCATAATTAGTATTCAGTTTCAAGTATTTCAATTTATTCCCTAAGGGGAATAAATTTCCCTTCAGGGGGTATGGCATGAAGTCTCCCAGCAAACTTTTTATACACTTGAAAACCTGACTCCTAATCAAAGGAAGAACAGTCTTAAATGCTTAAGCTTGGCTGAAGCACTTCATACTTAATTATGACCTTCACTGAACATGTTTTGAAGTTACTTCCCAAACAAGGTCTCATCTTTTCATTTTTTTTTATCATTTTCATCAGATGAGGAGGTAGAAGCCCTGCAGTGTTAGAATCTATTTCAAGTTCCAAGTAGGGGGCTAAGCAAGAACAAGTAACATGCTTTAGTGATTACTGTGAATCATGGGGTGTCCAATTTCCTATTGCTTGAGGTTTTCCATCACAATGATGGTACCTCTTCCTCTTGGTGGGCCATTAGCATTCGCTTTCAATACGACTCCACAAGTCATCACAAAATAGTATCGGGTCATGGTAATTCAGGGTCCTAAATTGCATACCTGGCACAGATACAAACTTCTTGTTTTACATTAGACAATGAAAGGCTTCCTTGTTCCATCCTTATTCATCACTGATAAAACAGACTGAGGTATATACACAAAGGTAACATTTCCAGAGGTTTAATGGCTTTCTGAAGTACTTTTGCAGTCCTCCCTAACAAGGGATTATACAAAATGCTGCTATTCTTTCCACTGAAACAAACACTGCTTTCAGGATAATTAATTTTTAAAAAAACTCATTTCCAAAAGTATGAAAGATATTGCACATTCCAATAATATATTAATCTGCAGTATTGTGCTAAACCTTGGCTTTCTCCAGCAGTGATGTTTCGAGAGCAGTTGGAAGTCAAATAACTGTGTCCAGGATCTTAAAGACTGCCACGTAAACAGATTTAGAGGAAAAAAGCTTAATCCTGTGAAGAGCTTTAGATATGTGGGAAGATTAGCATTACTGGAAAAAATTCTGCAGCATCCAACAATTTTATGTCAATTATGAAGCAAATACTAATTTCATACGTGCCTAAAAACTTGTTTACCCATTCCAAAAATGTAACTTTATTAATGATCTGAAGAGGATTACCAAACAGCACTTTAACTTCAGACATTATCAAATTGGAAGCTTCTTCCAAGACAGTTGAGATAATACAAAAGATGTGCAGATGTTAGAAATATGGACACAGCAACATAATATTCACCTGAGCATCCCATTCCTTTTCTTTCTTACTCCTGAAATCCATTCCAACACTTGCAATATCTACTCCACACTTAAAGCATCTTTACATCCAGCAGTTAGGTTTATCTATCCTCATTAAACAGCATCCCTTGTCCCTTAACAGGGGCCAAAGCCAATTTGTCACACCAAGTTAGCTAGTTAATAAATTATTTCCTTTAGACTTCAAAGCATAGAAAGGGCTTCACAAACAACAGGCTGTGTAACTCGCTGGTTTCAAAGACAGAACGCTAGACAAAGCGATCTAATACACATTGCCTTTAAGTGGCATCGAGTGTATGTGCACATAAGGGTATAAAATCTAAAGATGACATTCAGTCCTTCAGATAAAAAAGTTTTTGCAACTGCTGGCAATGCCTTCCTCTTGCAGCATTCTGAGAAATTAATCTCCAGAAGCTACACAAATCACTTTCACTTTAGACCTTTTAGTCTTTATCTACTACAGGACAGCCTACTGTCTAGCTTTGCTAACTTTAACTTTTATCTCAGTTTTCGAACCATACCATTATTATTGTTATATAGTCTTCAACAAGAAACACAGTACTATTTCATTAATAGTCACCACTATTAAAGCAGCAAAACCAGATAAGAGCACAAAACCCCAAACTAAATGCAATCCTTAATAAAAGCCTCTTCTCTCATTTTTGTTTTCTCCTCCTAAATGGAAATAGAGAGTGCATCATACCGAGTCCCATTCCTACTTTTATGCTGCAGACAACTGATTGCACTCATAGCCATTTAAGCCAATTTTATCCTTCCTAAGACTATCCGAGGAAAACAGGATTGGTTTAAAGCTGTGCCTATAATTATGAAAAGGCTCTTACCTGCATTAGCCCAGGGGAGATACCAGGGGCAGCTGACATTCACATAGGTGCCAGGCAGGCCGTCTGGCCAGCAGGCATAGTTGTCAAATGTTCTGTTGCAAAACTTGCCTTCTGCAGAGAGATGGAAGGGAGGGTCATGCCACTGCCTTGTATAAATACTGTAAGAAGGGAAAGACTGAAGAGCAGAAGATAAAAGAAAACATGGACACATGCATTTAAACCGTAACAGCATTATGCACTTCAGCTGTAATGTGGAGTTAACTGAGATTTATTTGTCCAAAAAGAGTTTAATCCCACACAACAGGAAACTCTTGTTACAGGGGGAAACTGAAGAACAGATTAGGGTCTTTGACTAAATCAAGGGACATGAAAGGTAAATCAATACTGATCCATTACCATCTTTTCTCTTTTACATTCCTATGTGTCTTGGTTTAAATTAAAATCCTTTTTGCTATGAATACTGTAGATAATCATTCTCAAGAATAGTTTATAGCTGTGTAGTTGGAAAATCTAGCGTAACATACAGATCCATCAACAAAATACCCCCAACACAACCATAACTTTGCATTACAGCTTAATCAACACGACAATACTTCAACTTCAGATTTATTAAACTGTCATTCTTAGAGGGCAGCACTCAACTGCTCAACAGGATAATGGAGCAGAGGGAGATGAATGTTTCCCTGCCACTGTTGTCATCAGCTACTGCTCTCTCTGCCACAGTAATGTAGTTAAAAGGAGGAGAATTAATACTTCTGAAATAATTCTTCACAGATACAACTTTAGAGCCACCTTATCTGTTCCAGTGTGTCACAAAACCACTGAAGCATAGGAGAGGCCACACTGTGTCCAGCTGTGAGTGTCACTGACAAATCACCAGTGTCCTCTAAATACCATGCTGCTGGAATATCACAGCTGCTCTCAGCACATTACAGCAGCTCAACTGCTAAGACAAACTGCTTTCTCATTCACACAAAGGCACTTTTTTAAAAAGCCATTTCAGCATTTTACAATGCTCAAGATAATTTACACCAACTGTAAGGCCGACAAACTGCTAGGTCACTGTGAACAGCATGCTTCCTTACACCTGTGTGCTCTCTCTACACTGAATCCTGGAAAAGTTTCAGGGAAATAATATTACTGTGCTGCTTCAAGTGCCACCACTTGCCACTGAAAAACACTCCGAATCTAAAAACTAACATCTTTACAATCAAATTGTTCCATAAAATGCTTCCTCAGCAGCGAGAAGAGTCCCACAGAAGACGGACAGAAACAAACAGAATAAAGAAGAAACGGACTGGAAAGTAAGCTAGAGAAGTATTTTCAAGTTCATAATCACTCTCTTGCTACTGTTATCATGCATTTTAGAAAGTAATATATCCTATACGTACCAAGCAGGCTTACCTGCCACAATGGGGGGTGCCTCATACAAGTATTCCAGGCATTGAAGCTGATACTCCTTCCACTTCTGCATAACCCCAGAGAGGGACCCATCTGAACTCTGAAAGAGAAACCATGAGTCTCAGACATTGCAGGGATTTCAACTATGTGATTTTCATGCAACCTGAGTAGAAGGGTGTGAAAATAATTACCACAAGCTAAAATAGCGCTGTTTATCATAAAGGGTGCAAGACGTTGCTATGCATTTGCCTGATTGCAACCAAAAAAAATCCCTATTTATACCATAAGGAACTGAAAAAAAAAAAAACAACACCCCACCCCACAAACAACTATACCACGTCCTTCCTGAAACCCAAACTGAGCCAGCCTTGCTCTCCTGAACATGCCCCAGTTGGGTGATTTATTATCTCACGAAAAGACAGGGACAGCAGCAAGTCCTTTTAGGAGAGGTTTTCTTTCCAGAAGCAGTATTTCTGCTAGCTCACAAATGAGACCAAGTTAATTCACTGTATTCAGTGGATACTCTCCAAGCATTCTTCCAGAACATAGATGAAAGCTTTTCCAGCTCAGCTTTTCTTTTACAAACAGCAGTTTTCCTTCACATTGTGCACGTTTCCTTCACATTTCCTGAAACAGAAAGAGTAGGGACCTCCTTTTTGCAGTTTGACAAGCTCAAGGTTCCACTGTCAGCTGCCCCAGGCACTGAAGAGGCAGGGGAAAAGTATGTACACACTCTAGGAGCACAAAGGAAATTAGCTACTATCAAACTGCAAAGTTTAGCTCTGATTACTCACTCAACCTGAGCAGATGCCCCACCTGCCTCACAGAAGCACAGCTAACTCAGTGCATAAAAGAGACATCAGTCCTTCTCTCTCCTCTCTGCATCTATATAAACTGAATAACAAAAGTTAGGATTGGCAGGCAGCAAGTGATCAATAATGCAGGTAAGTCAGCATTCTTTTTCCAGAGAAAGGCCCAGCATGGATGTGTAGAACATACAATCAACAGCATGAACTTAATGGTACAACTCATTAACGCAAAGTTCATTTCATTTATACTAGCTGTAGAACAGTTTATTAAAGAGGGTAAATAATCTCGTAAAGCTTGAGCTTTACCCTCACAGTTTCAACTGCTGATTTTTATTTTCCCATTTGTGCTTCTAAATATTTTTCAGATGGTTAGAAGGAAATCAGGGCATGGGATGACCTTTTAAAAATTAAGAAGTCATTTTAAACCTACACTGCATTTCAGCAATGCCAAACTGAATGCTGTCCACTACAATCAATGTGACTAAAATTTAGACACCTATGCAATCACCTTGCTATAAAAGAACAGAAGTAGAACTGGTATTTTTGGATTACAGACCTCTCAAGTTCTCTTTTCTTTATCCTTCCAATTAAAAAACCAGCATTTGAAAAAAGCGAAACACCATATGGCATCATGCTTCTTCCTGGATTAAGCCACTGCATTTAGTTACAAAGATGCTCTTGTACACATGATGAAACAACACTTAGTAGATATTTATGTTAAGTTTCAAGAATAACTGCCTATATTTACATGCAACTTAACTGCAGCTAGGGCCTCATGGCCATAATTTTGGAAGAATTTAGCCATCTCTTCCTGAAGTCAAAATAAGCACAAGCCCATGGATCTTTGAAACGCTGATCCTCATGTGCACAATTTAAATCATCTTATCTATGCCAAGAAATGCTGCCATAGTCTGTCTGTGCTGAAGTCTCTAGTGCAAAATGAATGTGTCCTACTGAATTTTAACCCCACGTGCCTATGGAAACCCATAAACCTAGAACACACAAGTGTCGTGATCTATGCTTAACATACATGAAGGAGAGAGAACATCACCACCTATATTAACTCTACAGGTGTGTGTAGAGAAACAATCACTAACTCTCAAAACTAAAACGCCATCTTCAGATCCAAGTAAGCTGATTAAGGATGGATGACCAGAATACAGAGAGAGAACAACTTTCAAACCTAAGTTTCTCTCATGCAGTGTTTAAGAAGTAACTTTCAGGTTATGCATTGTCTCAAAGGTCATTTTACAAGGGTGGTTATTGAAGTTATACAGGGCTGTTTCACCACCCTTGCATCACCAGGTTAATACTTTAATAAATTAATGAGAAGAAACATTTTCAGGATTAACTCCTAAATTATGATTCAGAACAATTTCAGAAGCTACTAAGTATCATATGTCTTCCAAAAGAGTAACTATTAATCATGCATGCAGATGACCACATCAAGTTAATCCAAATTCAGCTTTTAAAATCATTACAAGTCATAGATTCATACAGAGTTTCATTTAAAAACAAGACTCTATCTTTTAAAGCATCTGAAAATATCCTAAACCTGCTTGTACTAAGAAAATTAGCTCTTTTTGAGTTAGCAAGCCTTACAGTATTTTCTTCCAAATCAAGTTTTCATCTACTGCCTTCATGAATACAGGAATAACCAGCTTTAATTACAGCTTTGGGAAAAATCAAGCTTCTGTCCCTCCATTTAATGAAAAAGTAGAAACATTCTACTTATACTGGCTTTTCATAATGTGAGAAGACAACTGTAACCAGGAGATTAGCAAACTGTAAGAGTAAAATAATTAGACATGCCTTCTTGTGGAGATGACTGATTTGGTAGACAGTTTTCTATTATCTATAGTCTGTTGCAATAAGACAATCAAATATAAATTCCAAGACTACATAATTTGTTCTCTCTATGCAACAGTTTACTTTGGTTCAGCCAAATACAATGTTTTGTTATCAGGCAAATTGACTTAAATTTGATTTTAATAAATTCTAATGCCCACTTCCTGAAAATTCTGGCCCACATGAACTAGAACCACAAGTTATACAGTGCCACAGATAGACAACGTGAGTAGTTACTCAAATAAGAGATACTATAATTTCTTATAAAGTGATTTAATCCTTTTTGCAACATCGAAGCACTAAAACACACATATACAAGGACAAGGTTCCTGGGTTAGTACCCAAAATTTTGAGCAAATTCCAAAAGTTTCAATAGCTTTATTAAACTCAGGGTTATATTCCTGTTGCTAAAAGCACAAGTCCTTGCATTTTATTTATGTCTTTTTTTGTTTTTTCCCCAGTATAGAAAAAAACAGTAAATTAGTGTGGTGAAAATACGTCACAAAAGGGTATTGGAGGAGAGAAGAATGGAAATGTGGCTGACTGGTTAAGGTGGAGGAGTCGGAAAGCAAGAATGGATGAAGGAAAGTAAGGAATCGAGCAATGGTGCAGCCTAAAACAGATGCAGAAAAATTAGAACAGGCAAGAGCACAGAGGCTGCGAGTCTTTCAATGTATGTATATAATTAAGTGTAATTCATCTCTAGTGATAAGCTAGCTCATTCAACACTCTGAAGACAGTATTCCTTACAGATCCGTAACACCTTTATAGCAAGGCCACTTTCAGTAGTCATCATTTGTCTTCATAGAGCCCACTGTAGAAGGAAGCATTTTCATAATTTTTCAACATGTTTGAAACTATTCCTACTGTAACAAAACCAGCATCCACACAGTTCCAAGGTGATCATTGCTACAAAAACACTATTGTAATACAGTGAAATCTGAGCACAGAGTATAAACCTGCAGCATGAAATGACATCATATAGAGTAGAAAGGAGAATTCTTAGAGTTTCAGAACCAGCCAGTGACTCCTGAGGTTATCTTCCTTCCCCTTCTTCTATGACTATATAAAAGGTCTTACATGCAACAGGATGAGAAATTCTTCCTTACATTTGTATTTCTTACATCTTTGCCACTTTTAAAATGGAACATGTCACAGCTTTTTCATGCTTTTAACATTTGAGGATAACAAGCAAGACTTCAACCATGCTGCTAAAAGCTCACAGATAACATTACAACTACTGGGACCTCCAAAATGTTCATCTTTGTCTTCAGAAACAGAAGTGAGGTAACCTGGCACTGAACCACACTTTGGTATGACCTTGGTGTTCTTCCCTTGGATAGTGATGATGACATACCTACCTTGTGAGACTACAGTTCAGATTACATTTTATCACAGAAGCATAAGTGAGTTACTTTTAAACTTTACCACCTTTTAAAAAGGTCTAACATAATACATTATTTCAAAGCGACTATGCTCAGGATCAGGATGGCAACCAAGTCCAAGATAGGTGAAGACTGCACGTTACTAGCTTTACTCTAATTCTGACTGGCCATTCTTTCCTATATAATACAAATCTTATAAAATCATCTTTTATGGCAGCGTAAGCTATAGTTCTGCATCAATAAAAGCAGTAGTAGATATAAACTTGACACGTAACAAGTTTATTCAATTCATATCACAGACATACGCTTGAATTTATGAAACAGTTTTGTCAGTTCACAGCCCAAACGGGGCAGAGCACAACACTGCTACTCCAGATGCTTTCACTTGATACAGGTTCTGGGAGCAGAAGTTTAAAACCAGAGGCTGTAGCACAGCACAACTCTGCACTGGGGCTAGCAGCTCACAGAACAAACTTACCTCCACCCTGCAATCTGTCATCAATTTTCTCCACTTCTAACTTGAATATGAAAGCATATGAATGGTAGGATGCTATTACTACCTCCCCAAGCCCATCAATCAAGATCCAATTTCTCAACACTTGTTGAGATTTGACAACAACAACAGATTTGACAAAAAAGTCCTGCAAACGCTGAAGCTCCAACCACCAACTTGTAAGACAACACCCCAACACTAAAACAGAACACACAACACTGAACCTTGTATTAACAGAGTCCTTTGGCCCACAGTTCACCCTATGACAAAGCAATCCTGTTGAGAATCAGTCCTTCAAGTACAACACTTCTCAAAACCTAAGAGATTCTGGAAGTGCATTACTATGGGAGCAGGCTTTATTGCTTTCATGCCCCCCCTTTGCTCCCCCAAAGGGTAACATTTAAGATGGATTTCATAACTACTTAGTTCAAATAGCATAATGAGCTAATCTGAATTCATTATAGGCAACATCTCTGACAGCCTGGTTACTTTCAAGTACTGAAGCTACATCAAAGGAGGAGGTACATCAAAAATTACAGCACTGTCTCTACTAAAGAT